AAAAAAAAAAAAAAAAAAAAAAAAAGTACTGTGAAGATAAAATGTGGAGCCAGATGGACTAGTTTAGCAAAATAATGCTATTGTTGTACGAAGAAAGACTAAGTAATATTTAGCCAAGCACAGAAAGGCAAATACCACATTTTGTCCTCTTATGTAGAATATAAAACAATGGAACTCATAGAGGCATTAAGTAGAAGAGTAGTTAAGAGTCTGGTGGGGTGGGGCAGATGAACTGAAGGTCAAATCTCAGACAGGAGGAATATGTTTTACATTTTGGAGAGGGTTCTACTAGACACTGTGGTGAATATAGTTAATAGAAGAGCATTGTACGTTTCAAAATTACAAAGAGTGGGAAGTTCAAATGTTCTCACCAAAAAAAAATGTTGAATATTTGAGGTGATGGATATATTAACTAGCCTGATTTAATTATTTCATATTGTTTTCATGAATTCTAACATCAGTTTATATCTCATAAATTTATTCAATTATAAATTGTCAATTTGCAATAAAAAATAAATATTGAAAACATCCTATAGTTTAATAAATTGTTTTAACATGAATGTCATAAATACAGGATAAATAAATTCCTATTCTTTAATTCCTACAATGAGAAATTTAAGTATATCACCTTAAATATAAATAAAAATGTGTAGAGCATAAAACAAAACAGAAGTGTTTTTTTTTTTTAACACAGGAGGCACTAAAGTATACCTCCAAGGGTTATATGTAATGGGTTAAAAATATGTATCAATTTAAGGAAGGAAAACAGTCATGGATGTTATGAAACTGTTGTGAATATAGTTAATTCATGTTACAAGTTGGATTTAAAAATAAAAATAGGATATCTTAAGTTTTAAATTCTTTGAAATTTGTACCAGGTAGACTAAACATACTTTCTTTTAGTGCTGAAATGTAAAAGCATTTAGTACAATCTAGATGCATGACTGGAATTATTGAATAAATGGATGTGATTTTATTCCTAAAATTTTAAATTATGTGGACTCTGAACCTGCTCCAAATTGTCAATAGGTATACAGATTACTATATGCTGTTGAAAGGGATCATGTTTTTATATGTAATAATTTCTTACTTTTCTTTAAAATCTGGCAACCCTAATGTTCTAATGTTTTGTTTCATAATGTTTAAGAGTCAGTTAATTAATATCTTTCTGAGATTTTAGTATTTAACTCTCCCTCTCAAGAGTGTATTGCTTTTTTCTTTTTTCCACAAAAAAAAACCTCAATGATATAATCTCATAGAAAACATATTTGTGAGTTAAGAATTGTGTGTTTTAAACACTGGTTTAAAATGCACACATTCATTTATGTGTGTGTGTGTATACATATATACACACGTACAGAAAACGACAACATTGCTCTATATTTTAAAAAATAGTTTAAATTAAATTTCATATAATTGGTTTCATTAAATCTATATTGTATACAATGACATGAAAATTTTATAAATAATTCATGTGGTCTTAAAATTATCAAAGGGTTATACACATACATTTAAAATCATCTGTTAATAGAGAAATATGTAGCCAGGAATGCACATGCTTTTGAATACAAAAATATGCATATTTATTAATAACCAAAATATTTTGAGTCAAATTCTCATATGCCTATAGAGCTTGGTAATTCTATAGGCATTCAATAAAAGAGAGAAAATAATAAAAAAGACATCAATGTCTTACATAGCCCCCCCACAAACAAAAGACTTATTTAGAAGGAGAGGATTTATATTCACTTGAAAAGTGATATTGTAACCCATTTATTTGTCACCAGATACTATGGGGAAAGAGATATTTTGCTTTACCTGTTCAAGAGCAATTTCACGCACTGTCCAAGAAGTACTTTCTTAGTGACAAATGACACTACTGTCTTGAAAATTTAAAGAGATGTTCATATATCCTTTTCTCTTTACCTTTGTGTGTCTTCTAGTTACATTTTACGTTTATCTTTATGTTTAGTAGTATTATCTCTTTATCAAAGAAAGTAATATATTCTCCACCAGAGCTTTTTAGGAGTAAAATAGATGGCAAACTCTCTGAAACAATTTAACTATGAATGACATTTCTAAATTTTGCACACAGAAAAAAATGCTTAGGTTATTTTAAGCCATGACTGATATGCCAAATTTATCCCCACTTTATTACACTATCTCACAAATTTGCAAATTTCATTTATCATGTAACATTTTAGAGTTAAAGAACAGCTAAACTGTGGATCTACTGCTCTGGTATGTTGAAAAGCCACTGTCCTAAAATAGCATTTTAAATTTCACTTGATGTGCCAAAGCAGGATTTCTGAAAATGTTTTGCCTTAATCTTAAGACATACTTTGATGATTCTGAATATAATTATTGAGTAATTAATGTGACAAAATTTGACAAATATATGAGCACGTTTTAAAGTCAGACAAGCATTTTCTTATAACGAATCATATCAGAATATTCAAGAGGGTAGGCATCATTTGGAAAGGAAATTGATTTGTTATACATTTTGACGGGTAGAACATTTAGCTGTGTTATCTAAATTGAAAGGTGTTGAGAGTGGGTAAAAATAACTCTTTATGGGTACAGTTTATTTTATTTTGATTTGGTTTGATTTTAAGGTAGCAGACGTCTTTCTAGTCACTTTTGCAGAGACACTCATTTTGTAAATCAGGAGCTGTCTTCACCATTGATAGAAAGGATTCTTGTGGGATTATTGTTAGGTTCCATACTTAGCTGTGTTTCAATTTCAATTTTTCTCCCCAAAGCAAAGATACAGGTGATAGAAGATCATGGATGTTCAAAGAAATAATCATGACAACAAATTCTTCTCATTCACAAACATGGTTCTTAAACACTTGGTTAATAGCAATCAAATCTACTTGTTAATAGCAATAAATTCAAATGTAAAGAAGATATATAGAAAGATCAATATCTCCTTTTAAACAGTGTCACACATTTATTCCTGTGACATTACTATTCACTAACATGTTGAATACTGTTATATAAGATTTTAAACATAACATATATTTAAGAGTACATGCTAAGATCATGGGTTGCAAAAAATGATCAGTTTATATTTAGTTATCAGTGATCACTTATCAGATTATATGTAGCTCTGTTATGAGAAATTCCTGAAAGATGGATCTGGTTTCTTAAGAATGCATAAGAGGCATCTGTGCACACCATTTTAAAATATCTTCAATTTATGATAATTTAATCAAAATGAATTCTAAGTTTCTTGAGGAAATGTACCTTACAAACATTCCAAAGTAAAAAACAAAACAAAACAAAAAACATAAGTAGAATACATATGCTTTTAGAAAAATGCAGATGTGTGTGTGCATAAAATTATAAATATTTCACTGGAGCATAAAGAATTTAATAATATATGATACTATAAAATTCAGATATTTATAGGTTGATCTGAGCATTTCATTCATCCTTATAAAGGCTAGGAAAAGTGGAAAACACCTGTAAAGAAAAGGAGATCTCGTGGTTTCTAAATTACATAAATTGATTACTTAAAAAATTAAATAATTGTACACAATTATGAAATGTTTATTCCTTTTAGAAATATATTTGTTAGTTATTTGATTTGGTCAATATAAATGTTCATATTACATTGAAATTTAAATACTTTCAAATTAAAAATTATAGTAAGTATGCATACTTCTGATAGTTACAATAATGAGAATTTGAAAAATAAATATATGAATGCAAATAATTCTACTTAATATTGCAACTATATCTAAAACATAAATATATGTTACCAAATTTTCAAATACTTTAAATAATGTCTTTTTTTACAGATACGTTAATTCAGCAAGTGAATTCATAGAGATAAAATATAAATTGACATAATCTAAAGAAAATCTTTGCCATTCTATTTACGAATTTTTTTGTTGCTAAATATATCATGTGTTTTTATATTTAATATATTTGTTAAACTCCTTTGGTAAACTTATTTTGAAATATTTTATTATAATTAGTAATTCAATTAAAATTGCATGTACCAAATTGTAATAGAAACAATATTGAATGTGTTTTACAGTATGCATTTTCTTCAGTTTTACTTTTCTTATTTCTAAATTTCTGAAATACTACCTTACATATTTCAGAAATTAACTTTTGTGTTATATGCAATTGTTAATACATAGGCAAATTAATACGTGTGTACAATTTTAGACATATATGTGTTTATATTCATACTACTGCTAATATTTTAATTTTATTGGAATTATTATAAAACTCTTTAACTTTTTATTATTTATTCTTTATGTAAATATTTTTTCTCATATGCTTAAGGATGACAACTCTATTGTTCATATTACCTGATATATGTGATAAATACATGATAATTAAAAAAAAAAAAAAACCTGGACGAAGAAAAACATGCAAAGAAAGAAAGACATGCAAAGAAAGGTTGATTCATTTCCTCCCAGAAACTTGAGAAGTTTTAAATATTCTTACATAGGAGTAACTTCCTCCCCTGCCCCCACAATCTGTGTTACAGATATGGATAATTGTTCTCACAAATACTTGTTTCGAGGAAGTTCCATACACATCATGGTTTTAACAGTTTTTAGAATAGCTTCCTTATTTCCTATATAAATATTTTCCTTAATATTTTTAGCATATTTGCCTAGCAACAGTTTGTCAAGTACTTTTTGACCTATGGACTCATTAAAAGATGATGCATGTAATTTATAATATGCATGATTAACATACTCTTACCTGTGTAACTTCAGCTTCTAGGAGTTCTGTGAAAACCGAACAGCAAACTTTGTGTTGGACACATGAGGAATAGTAGGAAAAACTTTTGTTTTTGCTTCACAGTCTTCTCAGCAAACTCTCGATGTGTCCCATTGTCCAGAGTTACAGACGCTGGTGCTTTTAGTACCATAACACTGTCAGTATGTCACTGCTTACTGAATGCTATTTTGGGTTCTCTGAGTAGAGTCATGAACACTGAGCCTTTTGTGTAAAATATCATAAGGGCACTCTGATGGTCATTCATAGACTGGAATTAAAATGCAGACAGCTAAGCAAGTAGTATGAGCTGATTAACTTTTTTTTTTCTTTTCCCTAACAACAAGCAAAAACAAAATAAAGTACTCATTGGCCTGAGTTGATAAAAAGAGAATTCAACTTATGTACAAGAATTTTGCAAGTAGAGAGGACATGCCCTCTGTTTGGGGATTATCTGATGAAACAAATGATCAATTTAAAGCAGACACAAAACTTACTAAAAAGAGAAATGATTTTCCACTGTGTGTCTATGCCTTCTGGCTGTTTCTTAATTTGGTCATTGCTCCTCAGAAATCAAGTAAAATACATAATGAGAGAGCAATGTCTAAATTTTAATAAGTAACATTTTTTTCCTTGGTTTATTTATTACCTAAAATATATTATTTTGTTCATGTTTATAATTAGATTTGATATAAAAGTTGTTTATTATAAAATACATATTTATTCTCTATGCTGTTTACTCAAGCTGTTATTTAGTTAAAAATCATTTTTGAACCAACTTAAAGACACGTTGAAAAATATTAAAAGTTTCTTATATTATGCCAATATTATAAGAAAGTCTATGTGGGGCGGGATTATTCTACCATTCTGTTAATTCTGATAGAGATTTTGGTCATTGTCTTCTTAGTTTCTTTACTTTCTCTTATTTTTGAGTACTGAAATGACGAAAACTATGTAAGCAGTAGTCGGGATACACAGGCACACACACATATACACACATGTGCATGTGCACATATGCATACACATACATGTACACACATACACATGCATCTTCATGCACACATACACACACACATGCACAAATGCATATCCTATGTGGCTGTGAATGTTAGGAGGAATCAATAATTTATTAACAAATCTTGAAGAGATAAACCTGGGAGAATAGATCTGTGGATAGCAGGAGCCAGATAATGTGGAAAAAGTTTTTACAGGTAGAGAAAAACATTTCTAGGTGTTTCAAGATATTACTCAATAAGGAAAAAAAAAAAAGAAAATTTTCAAAGAATCTCTGAGGCATGCTTACGTATTTTTCCCCTTCATATTTTTTTACAGTATCAATAAAGGTGACGATACCTGTTTAAAATATTTCTTTAAATAATTCACTGTTCTCTCTATGACCTAGTCTAGGGTTTATGTAAGAATCTAACATTTTATGAGATGTCAATTTGTATCTTGGTGTTTATAAAATATCCAGCTGCACTAAGGATTGCAAACACAGTTTATGGCCTGAGTGTGCCTGTAAACACGATGTCCCAAGGGCTTATCCCAGAGCCTAAGGGAGCATTGCTACCCTGATTATTACAGCACCATTAAAGAGCAATGAGAACTATCCACTGAGACAGGATTAATTTTTCTAAAGAAGATACAGTATGAAACTGCAGGTTTTATGTAGAATATCATTAACAGGAAACTTATTTCATTAAATAGATGATCAATTATCAAACATATACAGGCACTAGTGACTGTAAATTACTTAAGAAATACATCCCCTTCCTAGAAGAGGATATGGCATGAACAGCTGATAGCCTAAATCGAGCAATCTCTACTGCTATGCCACAACCAAGAAGGCAGACTTGATGGTACTGATGGGAATGGTTATCAGATAAGCTTTGGGATTACTTCTAAAGTATTTTCTTTGTAACAGAAGAAATACATCTGATTATTTTTTCATGTATGAGAGAGAAATTACATAGTAAATGGAACATGACTGTATAAGAACAGAGAGGCTCAAAATTAAAAACACCACTATCCATATGTGAGTCAAAGCTACTCTCAAGAGTTATCTGAGGTCCCCACAGCAATAAAGCTGTGGCAGGATGGACAATTCCTGAAACACAAGCGGTGTTTCATAGCTGTACAGTGACATTCTGGTCTGTTTTCACATGCAGTCTGGGGGAATTCCACAGTTATCACTTGCCAGCAGGCTAAGGAACAGAGCTTGAAATTGCAGAAGCCAGGATTTCATTGAGTTACTCTAAACAAAAATTTGAATTCAAATATTATAATTCAGAGCCATCAATTTTTTAAATCACATAATTAAGAAATGTATATCTAATGATTAACTGCAGACAAGACTGGCTAATGAAGTTTGGATCTCACTAACTGAACAGGCAGAAATAGAAAGCCAAACATGCAAGCTCTCATCTGTTCTTTGAAAAATAGACTTTTAATCAGAAAGTTTAAGTCTATCTACTATATATCATAGACTCTAAATGTGCCTTCAATAAGATATTTAGACTTAGTCCAACCAGGTGTGGTCAGGATAGCATAATCTAAGGACTTCTCACATGGTCTTGAAGCATACTAGTTCTTAAAAATATATTTAAGTTGTTTTGGGAAAAGCTTATAAAATGTTAATATAGAAACATTTAAAACAGGTATTTACTGTGTGCTATCACTATATCATAGCACATAAATATTTAATAGAGAAGAAAATTCAGGCAGAACACATTACATGCAAATAAATAAGTGTGAAGAAAATATGAGCCCATATTTTAAAAATACTGGATATGAGATATGATATCTAGGACTGACACAGATGACAGGTACTATAAAGATAAACGATGTTTTTTATTTGTCCTAATACTATCCTTGCATGTGGTGCTTAAAATCTAGATGATGGGTTGATGGGTGCAGCAAAACACCACAGCATATATACCTGCGTAACAAACCTGCACGTTTTGAACATGTATCCCAGAACTTAAAGTATAATAATAATAAAAACATTAGCAATGTGACATTTCCACTATATAGAAATTTAAAATGGCAAAACAAGGAGAAACCATTAATTTAAAAGCCAAGTATCTGAAAATAAACAGCACACACATATCGGTAAAAATTATGTCTGTCATCTATGAATTCACCCAAATAAGAAAATCAGAAGAAAATAGTAGCAAAATTGAAAAACAGTTTTCAATAAACATACAAATATATCTTCAACACTATTAGAGTAATTTTAATTAAAAATAATAACTAGTAATTTTATTTCAAGTGTCTTTTAAAAATTACAAAGATTGACAGTATTTTTTATTGCCAAGGTAGTAAATAGATTCTTCTGTCATAGGGGTAATGAAAAGTATTATGGAAGGCAATTTGACAGCAACAATTTCACTAAACTACCCTACAGAAATAAAATCTATTATAAACACATATGTAAAAGTACATTTATTACAGCATTTCATTAATATAGATGGCTTTGTCACAATTAATATACCTTAGGAAATATAATATATGCATTTATGTTTTGTCCATGCTGTAGCATCCTAGGACACAAATAAGAAGACTCAGTTCATTCTGCAGGCACTAACATGGAGAGGTACCTTAATAACAACTACATAGTGGTATTTTTAAAAGATATATATTTTATTGCATTTTAGGTTTTGGAGTACATGTGAAGAACATGCAAGATTGTTGCATAGGTACATACATGGCAATGTGGTTTGCTGCCTTCCTCCCATCACCTATATCTGGCATTTCTCCCCATGTTATCCCTCCCCAACTTCCCACCCCCTGATGTCCCTCCCCTAGTTCCCCCCTACAGACCCCAGTGTGTGATGTTCGCCTCACTGTGTCCATGTGTTCTCATTGTTGAATATCTGTCTATGGGTGAGAACACGTGGTGTCTGATTTTCTGTTCTTGTGTCAGTTTGCTGAGAATGATGGTTTCCAGGTTCATCCATGTCCCTACAAATGACACAACTCATCGTTTTTGATGGCTGCATAGTATTCCATGGTGTATATGTGCCACATTTTCCCTGTCCAGTCTATCATCGATGGGCATTTGGGTTTGTTCCAAGTCTTTGCTATTGTAAACAGTGCTGCAATGAACATTCTTGTGCATGTGTCCTTATAATAGAATGATTTATAATCCTTTGGATATATACTCAGTAATGGGATTGATTGCAGGGTCAAATGGAATTTCTATTTCTAGATCCTTGAAGAATCGCCACACTGTCTTCCACAATGGTTGAACTAATTTACACTCCCACCAACAATGTAAAAGTGTTCTTATTTCTCCACATTCTCTCCAGCATCTGTTGTCTCCAGATTCTTTGATGATCACCATTCTAGCTAGCGTGAGATGCTATCTCAGTGTAGTTTTGATTTGCAGTTCTCTAATGACAAGTGATGAGCATTTTTTCATGTTTCTTGGCCTCATATATGTCTTCTTTTGTAAAGTGTCTGTTCATAGCCTTTGCCCACTTTTGAATGGGCTTGTTTTTTTACTTTAAATCTGTTTTAGTTCTTTGTAGACTCTGGATATTAGCCCTTTGTTGGACGGGTAGATTGCAAAACTTTTTTCCCATTCTGTTGGTTGCTGATTCTCTCTAATGATTGTTTCTTTTGCTGTACAGAAGCTCTGGAGTTTAATTAGGTCCCATTTGTCTATTTTGGCTTTTGTTGTCAATGCTTTTGGTGTTTTAGTCGTGAAGTCCTTGCCTATGCCTATGTCCTGAATGGTTTTGCCAAGATTTTCTTCTAGGATTATTATGGTGTTATGTCTTATGTTTAAGTATTTAATCCATCTAGAGTTAATTTTAGTGTAAGGTGTCCGGAAGGGTCTAGTTTCTGCTTTCTGCACATGACTAGCCAGTTTTCCCAACACCATTTATTAAACAGGAAATCCTTTCCTCACTGCTTGCTTTTGTGAGGTTTATCAAAGATCATATGGTTGTAGATGAGTGGCATTGCCTCTGAAGCCTCTGTTCTGTTCCATTGGTCTATACCTCTGTTTTGGTACCAATACCATGCTGTTTTGATTACTGTAGACTTGTAGTATAGTTTGAAGTCAGGTAGTGTGATGCCTCCAGCTTTGTTCTTTTTGCTTAGAATTGACTTGGCTATGTGGGCTCTCTTTTAGTTCCATATGAAGTTTAAGTTGGTTTTT